CCGTGGTCAGCTCTCTCTGGATGCCCTGCTTCTTGAGCCAGGCCGTCATTTCAGCTCCAAGGAACTCACCACCCCGGTCTGTCCTAATCCGCTTCACTACACACTCCGCCTGCTTCTCCACGAATGGCAGCCAATCGTCCCGTATCGTGGAGGCGGCGTGGTCCTTCTGCTTCAGCGGATACGCCCACATCAGCCTGCTCCAGTCATCCACAATTGTAAGAAAATACCGCTCCCCCTTGTGCCCTTGCACCGGCAGCGGCCCCACCAAGTCCATGTGGACCAGCTCCAAAAGCTTCTTGCTCCTGCCAGCCACACTATGGAAAGGGAAACGGGTGAACTTTGAAAGCAAACAGATTTCACAGTTGTCATCGGGTGGCTGTCCGTTCAGCTTCAGACCCTTAACGGCTCCATCCTTCTCCAGCTGCTTCAGCAAAGGCATTGCCACATGCCCTAAGCGCCGGTGTGCCGTTGCCCAATCTGTCTCCCCAGATCTGGCCGACACTTTCACACCAACCCCTCCAACGGCATTGCACTCCCCCTGGGATGCAGACCCCTCTCCAGCCTGCCCCCCACCATGCCACGCCAGGGCCGGCAGCTGCCACATAGATCTGTACACGTCCTTGCTCTCGTGCAGATCCCAAAGCACCCGATTGCCCAGCTTCCCCTTATAAGTGCGTGCCCCATCCGTGTTGGTGTTCACCCCAGCCTTGCCAAGCTTACGGAGGGAGATAAGGTTGGCCTTCAGGTCGGGGACGAAGAGAACGTCGTGCAGCACCACCGGCTTGCCATCCGCTCCCTTAAACGCAGCTCGTCCCGCACCAGCCACCTTCAACATGTGTCCAGAGGCGGAGCACACTTCATTGATCGGTGCAGCTCGTACTTCGTCCAGCAGGTCCTTGCGCGGCGTCATCGTCCAAGCAGCGCCTGTGTCCAACACCCAATAGTCTAGGGGGTGCAGCTCTGCTCCAACTTTGGCAGAGGCGTCTCCTTGCTCCCCCTTGTCTCCCACATGGAAGAATTGGCCCGCGGTGCGCTCCTTCTTCTTCTCCGCACCGCCGTTGCCCTTCGGGTTGTTGTCGGACGAATCAGCGACCATGTTGGCGCCGTTTTTCTGGTTCCTCCGCGCGCCGCCATCCTGGTGACGATTCTGGGGGGTCCATCCATCGGGTTTCTTATAGCACAAAAACCAGGGGTGCCCTTCCTTCTCACAATACCAGCAACTCCCTTTCATTTTGCCACCAGCACCCGACTTGCCCCCACGTCCAGATTTCGCACCGCGACCCCAACCGGTACCTCCTTGTTGGTCGTTGGAGTCGTCGTCTTTCTTTGCACCGCGTCCAGCACCACCGAAGCCACGTCCTCTGCCACGTCGGCTCCCTTGCATCCCGTAGCCGCTGCTGCCGTCGTCTCCACCCCTCAGTTGGCGGCGACGGAAGTCCTCCTCCAGAATCTTCGTCCGCACCCACTCGAGCGTCCACAAGCTCTGGTTCTGCGGCAGGCTCAATCCGCTAGTAAATTGAAGCCACGATTCTGGCAGCAGCGAGAGCATCTTCAAGCACTTGGTCTGCTCCGGGTAGGTGATTCCCACGGTCGCCAACTTCGCGTAGAGGTCGCGCATCTTGTCCAGGACTGGTTGCACTGGCTCTCCCTCGCTCAGGCGCAACGCGGACAGCTCCCTCTCCAGCATCAACGTTGCGACAACGGAGGTCGGGGCGTGCAGCTCCTTCAACACGGTCCACGCCTTCGGACCGCATTCAACCTCCGGCAGCAGGTGCATGACGTGGTGACGCTGGTTCAGCTCCAAACTCTGCGACATCAAATAGTAGCCAGCCGAGGAGCGCTCGTCCCAATCTTCCTGCAGCGTGGGGTCACTCGGTCTAGGCTCCTCCCCAATCATTAGTTTCAGCAAACCGATCTGACGGAAATATAATTGCATTTTCCAGGCCCAATCATCATAGCCCTCACCATTGAACTTCTCGACGGTGAAATTCTTCAGCACCTCCTTGACAAGCGAGCCCTGGTTTGTTCGCGCTCCCCTTGGCGCTGAAAGACCAGAATCTTGGCTGCCGCTACGATCTTGGGCTGAAGATTCACCAGCTCCCGCCGAGGTGTTGCCCGCCATAGCTACCTATAACGAGGATCACTATAACGCAGCTCTGATACCAGCTTGTTGGTGTAAGGGCCTAATAAACTCAAGCTATTAGGACTTAATCAAACTTAAAACCTCTCCTCGGGGTCACCTCCAAGGGTCCCTGGGTGCCTGGTACAAGACCAGCCCCTATCCTCGGGTCCGAGTTTGTAGAGAGAGGGATCAAGAAGGACTTAGTCAAAACAGCAAGAGTACCTTGAATGTCGCGCAGCGTGCCGTGCAGACCGTCGGTCGGATTAAGCTGAGAATTCGCTATATCGAAGCTCGCTCCAAGAGCTTTAAAATGAGCCAAGTTGCCTCGCGAAAAGTTCTGCCATTACTAAGTTATGGCTCGGACAGCGTTTGCCTAGCGTTGGAGTGCTAGCATACTAGCGTTGACTCGGGTAGCATTCCGCCGTCGAATAGCGCAGAAACGAAATTCCAGCGAGGAAGGAATTCGCTTGAATCAATTTGACTATATTCAGGTACAAACAGAGAAGGATTAAATAGTTCTAGCTAGCAAGGACCTTGGGAATCAACCTGGGAACAACCAGGGATGATCCCAAATAATTCCAAGCAACAGAACCAACCTGGCTGGACTGAATAGCAGGTGGTAGGTTGGTAAACAACCTCTGGTTCTGTTTTTCCAACCTGGGAAAACAACAACCAGGTTCAGGTTCTAAAAACAGAACCTGTTTTTGTCTTTGCCCAACCAGCCAAATGCTGGTTCCGCTGGTTTCCCCTGGCCTTGTAGCATGCAGATACAGACAAACAACATCCAACCTTCACCTAAATTGTACCCCTATAGTGCCTTCCCTGCTACACTATAGTTAACCAAACAAAACAGTACAATTCCGAGTTGGATAGAACTGAATCTGCGCAATCAACTCAACCGAACTGCAAAGCTTCCATCTTGGGTTCCTTTGCGAGCTCGTCCTTTCTGCTTGCACTGTTCATAGCGCGTACAATGTTGTGCCGAAGCGCACATTGCGCGAGTACCTGCAAATGCATCAAGCGAAAATTGCGAAAGCAAACAAACACACGAACACACTATTCACACGCAAATGCATTCGCACACGCATACTTGTACAAACAGACGGCAGGATGTCGTGCAATGTGCATTTGCACCCAACACATACTCGTACAAACAGACGGCAGGATGTCGTGCAATGTGCATTTGCACCCAACACAGCTCTCTTGCAGGTCTCCACCTCCCCTCGTTCACTACGAACTTGGTGAGTAACGCTGTCCTCCAGGACCAGTTCGCCACTGCGACTACTCCTGGGGGTGGGCTTGTGGCGATCTGTACGGACTCACGGACTGGCGCCCGCCTCGCCACGTTCACTCGGAGACCCGGGTTCTGGCCTGTACACACTGACCAGTGAGTCTGCACAAGTAGCTGCGTCCAGTCAGGTAGCTGCATCTTGCTCGTGTCGGTTACTCACGCACCCGTCTCTCCTCTGGCACCATCATCTGGGTCACCCTTCCCTGCTGCGTCTGCGTAGCATGCACTCTCGTCTGCTTGTCTCTGGTCTCCCTAGGTTTTTGCCCCCGCTCCTGCGCTCGCTTGCACCGCCCTGCCTTCCTTGTGTCGAGGGGCGGCAGCGCACCGCTCCTCACTCCTCCTCGTTTCCTCCGACCACTGCTCCTCTGCAGACTCTCCACATGGACGTGTGGGGCCCCGCCCGCGTCAGTGGACTAGAGCGAGAGCGCTACTGTCTGCTGGTTGTTGACGACTACACGCGCTACACCACGGTCTTTCCCTTGCAGAGCAAGGTGGATGTTCACAGTGTCTTGATCCCCTGAATTCGCGCTGTCCATCGCCAGCTGCGTGTCCTCGAGCAGGACCTCCTAGTCCTGCGTCTGCACTCTGACAGATGTGGTGAGTTTTCCTCCCGCCTCCTTGAGGCTTTTTATCGTGAGGAGGGCATCGCCCAGTTGTTCACGCTTCCGGCCTCTCCGCAGCAGAATGGGATTGCTGAGCGTCGCATTTGCTTGGCCATGGAGGTTGCTCACACCTCCATGATCCATGCAGCTGCTCCCCATTTCCGGTGGCCGTTTGCGGTGCGATACGCTGCGCATCAGCTAAACCTCTGGCCCCGTGTCTCCTTGCCAGATACTTCGCGTACACTTCGTTGGACGGGGGAGGTTGGTGATGCGTCGGCGTTTCGGATCTGGGGTTCGATGGCTCTTGTGCGTGATACCACCGCGGACAAGCTCACCATTCGCTGCGTCTTCCTTGGCTTTCCCACCGACGCGCCTGGCTGGCAGTTTTACCACCCAGCCTCACGCCGCGTCCTGTCCTCCCAGGACGTCACCTTTGACGAGTCGGTTTGCTTCTACCGTCTCTACCGCCACCGCACTACCCCCGTCCACCCCCCCCCCCCCCCCCTCGCCTCTCTTCCTGGTTCCAGGTCCCCCTCCCGGTAGACCCTCTCCCCCCACAGGGTCCTGCTCCCTTAGGTGTGTCTCAAGTAGACCCACCCCCCTTGGTTGAGCCTTTGGAGGTCACCTCTGGCCCAGCTAAGGGGGGTGACGCTGCTGCAACCGACACAGCGACCACTCGCCACTCACCGCGCCTGGAGACCCCTCCTGGTTTCCACCTCGGTCGTCTTCGCCGCCTCTGCAGCATGTTGCTGTAGACTCCAGTGCTGGTGGGGGTGGTGAGACTGGAGGTGCGGACTTTGGGAGTGGTGACACTGGAGGTGTTGGTTCTAGGGGTGCTGCGTTTGGGGGTGCTGGTTCTGGGGGTGCTGAGCGTCCTAGTGGTGGTGGAGTCGTTCGTGCTCCTGCTGGAGGTTCTGGGGGTGGACAGCAGCTGCAGTCTCGTCGGCAGGAGGCTCTCTTGCCACAGCAGCTTCGCGAGTAAGTTATGCAGCGGTTCCGCTCTGGTGGCGGAGCTAGAGGTGGTGGAGGCACTGTGACTGGAGGTACTGGTGCTGGAGGCACTGGATCTGTAGGTCCTAGTGCTGGTGGTGCTGGTGCTGGAGGCGCTGGTGCTGGCGGTGCCGATGCTGGAGGTGGAGGTACTGGTGCTGGAGGCGCTGCATGTGGAGGTAATCGTGCTAGAGGCACTGGAGCTGGAGGTGCTGGAGCTGGAGGCGCTAGAACTGGAGGTACTGGCGCTGGAGGTGCTGGAGGCGCTGGATCTGTAGGTCCTGGTGCTGGAGCTATTGGAGCTGGCGGTGCTAGAGGCACTGGAGCTAAAGGTACTGGTGCTGGAGGTACTGGAGCTGGAGGTGCTGGAGGTGCTGGTGCTGGAGGTACTGGAGCTGGAGGCTCTGGTATTGTGGGTACTATACAGCGGCGACCGGTTTTCTTGCCGCAGTCACAGTCGACACTCCCACCACCTGGCTCGGCGCTTCGCCAGGTTCTTAGTCTTCCGTCTTCCACTGGCCTTACTCCTCCCTTACTGTGTCCACCGCCTGACCCGTCTCAGACACAGTTACCGCCGGACTCCCCACTGCCTGCTCCTTCTCCTTACACTGAGCAGCCAGACTCCCTGACAGAGTGACGTGACCCTGCGTCTCGTCCTGCCTCGCGTCTTCACACTGTTCGTTGTGCTTGTCGTGTTCCTCGTCCTCGTCCTCCACTAGTCCCCGGCACTCACACTATGACACTTCGTCCTTCCTCTGTTCCACAACGTTTTTCTCTATCCTCTCCTCCCGAGTCCTCCCTTCCTGATGTTCCATGACCCTGAGTCTAACATTCTTCCCGCTTCTTGTCCTGCTCTCACGCGTCTCCTGGCCACAGTTGCCACTGACCCTACTTTTGAGACTACTGTTGCGTCTGCCTTAGTCGTTGAGCTTGTTGAATTTGCTGCTACCTGTCGTCTTGACTACGTCGCGAGTCTTGTTACTGAGTCTGAGTCTGACTGTCCTCCGTCCGTCGGGGGTGAGCTTGCCCTTGGCAGTGACGTCCTTGAGGACAGGCAGTTTGAGCTTGAGTACCTTGTGGCTGCTGTACCTCATCTCGCTGCCATGCTGCTTTGCCCTGAGGTAGACCCGGATACTCTAGACATCCTGACTCGGCGCACTTACGCAGAGGCGATCACGGGTCCGTACCCCTCTCAGTGGCAAACAGCCATGGACGCAGAGATGGCTTCCTAGAAGTCCACAGGCACCTACGTCGACGCAGTTCCCCCTCCTAGGGCGAACATAGTCGATGGCATGTGGATTTTCAAGGTGAAGCGGCCGCCGGGTTCTCCGCATGCCTTCAAAGCACGTTACGTTGCACGAGGCTTCAGTCAGTGACAGGGGGTCGACTACTTCCAGACCTTCTCCCCCACCCCGAAGATGACCACTCTTCGGGTGTTACTGCACGTTGCAGCACATTGTAACTACGAGCTCCACTCGCTTAAATTTGGCACAGATTTCTTGCAGGGCAGTCTTCACGAGGAGATCTGGCTGCGCCGCCCACCTGGCTTCACTGGGTCGTTTCCAAAGGGTACCAAGTGGAGCCTTTGGCAGCCAGTCTACGGTCTCCGCCAGGCGCCTCGCGAGTGGCACGACACACTGAGGACTACACTTGCGGCTCTTGGGTTTGCTCCTTCGACTGCTGACCCGTTGCCATTTCTGTGCACCGACCCTTCTCAGCCACCGTTCTACATCCTCGTGTACGTCGTCGACTTGGTCTTTGCTACTGCTGATACTGAGGCACTCGCCCTTGTGAAGTCGGAGCTGCAAAAGAGACACACCTGCACTGACCTGGGTGAGCTGCGCAGCTATCTTGGCTTGCAGATCACTCGGGACAGAGCACGGCGCACCATCACTCTGACTCAGTCACACATGGTGCACAAGATCCTATAGCGCGTCGGCTTCCACTTTTCTCGCCACTGTCCACTCCTCTGCCTACAGGCCATTGGCTCTCAGCTCCACCTTCGGACGAGTCCGTAGAGCCGATTGTGTTATAGTCTGGAGTCCACTTAGTGGTCGCGGATGCCCATGAAACCGCCTAAGCAGAATCTGACGACTTCAAACCGCCTCTGTTCGAAACGCCGTCACGATCAGCTCCGATAACATACGAGGCTGAAACTTGGACAGCAGTTAGCCTTAGGTGTCTGCTTTCCAACGGTATATTGCTTGCTTTCATCAGAGGTGTGTGCGCTACGCAGTGAACGAAATCGTAAGCTCGGCTGAAAACGTATAGTTTCATTGATGCAAGGAAGAGGTGAGTACAACATTGCCTAGTGGACTCTTAAGGGGTTGGGATCATCCTAGGAACTCAGAGAAGGTTGAGTCCTAGGGGAGAAAGGCTAGAGAAGGATGAGAAACGTCCTAGCTAGGTCAGCAAAGCCAACCACACTTGGAAGTTCAGAGCTGTACTCAAGGCAACCAATAGTGAGGAAGCCAACCATGAGTCAGCTTGTCTTCCCACTTGCACCCTCTTGCAAGCTGCTTCCAGGAAGACCACACTTCTCAAAAGGAGGGTGGTAGAGTCCCACTTGACCACCTGTACTTCTTGTCTCATTCTCTGTCCCTGCACCATTGGCATGACAACAATGAAAGGGTGGCAAGGGAAATGCTGCCAACAGTGCACCATGACTACGGAACAGTGACTTTCGACAGCTGTCACGCAATGCTCCGATGTTGGATCGTTCTGAAACTTGGTGACCACCTGCACAACGGGGCAAAGGACTGCCAGACCGAATTTCAGACCAATCAGAGCTCGGTAGACGAGTCAGCAGCCGAAATGGTGAACTCGGGTGTTACCAAAAAAGAGTAACACACACTTCCGGGATGCCATAAGTCTTGAAACTTAAAATGTTGTCACGCCTTGTTAACTGCTTCAAAAACTCTGAAACTTTGAGAGTTCGAAGAAAAGATGTTGAAGAGCCTCCCCACAAAATTCCAGAAGCTGAGCAGGCTTGTAGGCCGAATGGGAGTGCGATGACCGTGCCACTGTAATGTGTTGGCACAACAGATTGGTTAGTATCCAGAGCTTGTGGGTTCCCTCACGTACCTGATGACCTGCACTCGACCTAACCGCGCATACTCTCTCAGCATCCTGGCACGCTACGTTACGTTTGGGAGACACCGACCAGAGCACTGGCGGGCTGCTAGGAGGGTGCTGCGTTACTTGTGCAGTACATCGGGCATGGGGCTCGTGCTTGGAGGACGGCGTCGAGTTGTACTCACTGGACACTCAGACGCTTCTTCGGCCGATGACCAGGCGACTCAGCGGTCGTGACAGGGTTACACTTTTATTCTCAGCGCTGGTTCTGTCTCCTGGAGGTCCACCCGCTCGTCTTCTGTTCTCAGCTCCAGTTGTGAGGCTAAGATCTACGCGGGGGCCATGGCTACACAGGAGTTACGTTGGCTGACCTACCTGCTAACCAACTTGAGCAACCTCGTTCTCCTCCAGTCCTGTACGTTTACAACAAGGCCATGATTGCCTTGTGCCAGGAGCAGAGACTAGAGCACAGAATGAAGAATATTGCTCTACGTTACTTTCTCGCACGAGAGCTACAGCAGCGCGGTCAGCTTCGTCTTGCTTACATGGCCTGACATGCCAACACTGCTGATATCTTCACCAAGGCCCTAGGGTCTGGTGATCATCAGCGTTTCTGCACTGCTCTTGGTCTTTTGCCTACTCTGCCTCACTTGCTTACCTCTTGACTTTGCCTTGTATTGTGATATACATATATATACCAGCATGCTTACCTTCATTAGGTTGTGATCACTGTATTTCTTGTGTTCGTTATAACTCTGCATGTGAACTGGCCTTGTGGCCGCTTGCTTGTGCTCGGACTATGTGGTGACTTTGTGATCCACACTGAGCTTTGCCTTGTTGCTTCTCTTGACTGGTCTTGTGACCACTTGTTTGCTCAGGCTATCCCTCACTTTTCCTATGGGGGTGTGTCAAGACACATGAGTTTATACTGATCTACGTTGTAGTGGGGTTAGCATTTAGGGGGTACAATTTCTTTCTCAACACTCTTCTTGTACCCCACTCTCCTTGACCTAATCTCACCTTTTCCTGTTATTCTAACGCGCACCGCTGCTGGGGACGATGAGAAGCTTATGTTATCTTTAGTGTAGTAAAAAAAATTAAAAAAAATATTGGTAAATTATATAAGGTTAATAAAGGGGTTGGCGCTTATAATGCGTAAGGTGTCAGGGGTGCTCTTATCATCGAGGACCAGATATAAGTACCACAAGACTTTCATAAGCGTCGGTGCTTATCAGAGGCCTGCACTTATAGTAGAGGATTTACGGGTACCCCCTTCTATATGCCCCATTCATCATTCTCAGTTTCTCTCATTCCTGTCACCATACGTCCCATTTTTCTCCAAGACAGGTATTTGCATATAAAAATAGAACACGAAAAGAAATACTTTGTCAAACATTATATGTGTTGTGTTTGTGTAGACTGTAATGGGTTAGCCTATAGGGGGGTCACAACATTAGGGTTTCATATTTGTACTCACAATCCTTTCTAGTTCACCATTCCAGTCCGTTATTTCTGACATGGTTTCAGAGCAGGTCCGTCGCTAGGACTGTTCTTAGGGCCCACCTACCTACCTACCTACCTACCTACTGTGCGCCTCGTGCGCCTGCGCGTCCTAGAGCGCTCCTTACCTACCTACCACGCGCACGCAGCTCGCTAGCCGCCCGCGCGTGGCTTTCCTTTTTTTTACCGCGCGCGCCGTACTAGCCGCTCGCGCGCGGCCGTTTTCACGCGTGCGCCCCGCCAGCTGCCCGCGCGCGCTTTATTTTCTTCGCGCGCGGCCCGTCACGCTGCCTCCCCGCTGCCCGCGCGCCTTTGCGCTGCTGCCCGTGCGCCTCGTAGCCTCGCGCACTGCCCGCCGCTGCCCTGTGCGCCACGCTGACGCACCCGCTGCTGCAGCCGCCCGTCGCCTGCTCGCGCACGCCCCGCAGGCCCGCAGCCCGCCGTCGCAGAGGCCGCCCGTCCGCAGCCGCCCGTCGCCTGCTCGCGCACGCCCCGCAGCCGCCCGTCGCCTGCTCGCGCACGCCCCGCAGCCGCCCGTCGCCTGCTCGCGCACGCCCCGCAGGCCCGCAGCCCGCCGTCGCAGAGGCCGCCCGTCCGCAGCCGCCCGTCGCCTGCTCGCGCACGCCCCGCAGCCGCCCGTCGCCTGCTCGCGCACGCCCCGCAGGCCCGCAGCCCGCCGTCGCAGAGGCCGCCCGTCCGCAGCCGCCCGTCGCCTGCTCGCGCACGCCCCGCAGCCGCCCGTCGCCTGCTCGCGCACGCCCCGCAGCCGCCCGTCGCCTGCTCGCGCACGCCCCGCAGGCCCGCAGCCCGCCGTCGCAGAGGCCGCCCGTCCGCAGCCGCCCGTCGCCTGCTCGCGCACGCCCCGCAGCCGCCCGTCGCCTGCTCGCGCACGCCCCGCAGCCGCCCGTCGCCTGCTCGCGCACGCCCCGCTGCCCGCAGCCGCCCGTGCGCCGCTGCCACTGCCGCACGTGCGCATACGCAGCTGCCGCCCGTGCGCTGCTTCCGCTGCTGCTTGCGCACCGCCGCCTCCTGCCGTCGCCGCACGTGCACTGCTGCCGCCCGTGCGCCGCCGCTGCCCGTGCGCCGCCGCTGCCCCTACGCTACCTACCGCGCACACTGCTGCCACTGCAGCTGCCACCAGTGCGCCGTTGCAGCTCCTGCTGCCACGCTCCCTACTCCTGCCGCTCGTGTGCCACTACGGACAGTCGACCCCGCCCGCGCCTTACCTAGCGGCCCCGCCGGTCCCGTTGACCCTACGCACACCTTTCCAGCGGCCTAGTTCCTCCTCCTACTACTGTCACTATGGCTAGTCCTCCCGTTCTAGCTTTCGATGCCGAGGGCCGTCCGGTGAAGTTCGAAACCTGGCTAGATGACCTGCACCTGTTCCTACAGCTCACTGCCAAGGAAGACATCTCGCTGTACGACCACGCCCTAGGCCATGCTACTGCCCCTGACACGTCTGCTGACAGCACTCTACGCTCTCAGTGGCAGACTCGTGATGCGCACGCTCGCTTTGCTATTCGCAACTCCCTGCCGCTAGACGAGCGCGAGCACTTCGGCCAGTGCAAGACTGCTAAGGACCTCTACACCGCTGTAGTTGCCCGCTACTCCTCACCCGCTTCTGCTACGCTAGGCCGCCTCACTCTCCCCTACCTGTTCCCCAACCTAGCCTCCTTTCACACTGTCGCAGACCTCATCACCCACCTTAAGACTAGTGAGGCCCGCTTTCGCGCTGCTATGCCTGCCGAGTTTCTCACTAGCAACCCCCCCCCGCTCTGGATCACTCTCTACCACATCGTCACCCGCCTCCCTGACTCTCTGCGTGCAGTCAGGGACCACTTCCTCTCTCGCTCCCCCACTGAGCTCACTGTTGCCCTCCTCGAGAAGGAACTGCTTGCAGCTGAGGCGAGCATTGTCGCTGTAGGCACTTCTCGTGGCGACCCCCGCACCCCGTTCTTCGAGGGGTGTTCCCCTTCCCCCCTCCTCCCCTCTGTCGCCTCTGCTGCTGCTGTCGACCTCCTTGGTGCTGAGAAGGTCGGGACCGCGTCTGCTTCGAGCGGGCGCCGCAGGAGCAAGGGAGGCAGGGGTGGGGGTGGTGGCGGAGGAGGTGGGGGTGGAGGCGGTGGGAGTGGAGGCGCGACTGGGGAGGCTAGTGGCGGCAGTGGGGGAGGAGACAGCAGCGGCGGGAGCGGTGGCAGGGGTGGAGGCGGCAGGTGGAGGTGGTCGTGGCGGCGGCAGGGGTGGAGGTGGCCGAGGCGGTGGTGGTGGCGGTGGTGGTCGTGGAGGCACTGGCGGAGGCCCGAGTCAGCAGCCCGCCCCGACGCTTCAGGCCGCCCGTGAGTGGTATGCGCAGCGTGGCTTTACCTGCACGTACGTCATTCGCACAGGTGACCGCAGCGGCCAGCAGTGTGGGAGGCCGCACCCCATGCAGCGCTGCTTCGCGCGCCTTAACGACGCGTGGCGCACCCAGTTTCCTGATGCCGCTGAGCTGCCGCGCTGGGCTGATCTGGAAAAGAGGGGTGTCGATATTTGGGCTCTAGACTTTGATGCTATTCTCACTGCCATGTATGCCATGTCTATTAGTGGAGAGGGTGCTCAGTACTTGCGTGTTCCGCCCGACCCGGGCATTCAGGCCAGTCCGGCTGCCGCTCTAGGTGCTAGTGCGTCTGCTCCCACAGGTCCTGGTGAGGCTGCTGCCCTAGGTGCTAGTGCGTCCGTGCCCCCTGGTACTGGGTTGACTGCAGCACTGCACACCTTCACACTGGACTCAGGTGCCTCTCGCTCTTTCTTTCGTGACCGCACTGTCCTTGAGCCACTCGCTCGGCCAGTTGCTGTCTCCCTTGCTGACCCCTCTGGGGGTCCGGTCATTGCGACCTCCTCCACTGTTCTTCCTTGTCCTGCGGTCCCGTCCGGCACGCTTTCAGGTCTCTACCTCCCCTCGTTCTCTACGAACTTGGTGGCGGGTTGTGCGCTCCAGGACTCGGGTGTTCACCAGTTCACCCCTGCCTACGAGCGCGTGACACACTGCACGTGTGCTCGGACGGGTCGCCACCTGGCTGTTGGGTGCAAATTTACATTGCACGACATCCTGCCGTCTGTTTGTACGAGTATGCGTGTGCGAATGCATTTGGGTGTGAATGGAATGTTCGTGTGTTTGTTTGCTTTCGCAATTTTTGCTTGATGCATTTGCAGGTACTCGCGCAATGTGCGCTTCGGCACAACATTGTACGCGCTATGAACAGTGCAAGCAGAAAGGACGAGCTCGCAAAGGAACCCAAGATGGAAGCTTTGCAGTTCGGTTGAGTTGATTGCGCAGATTCAGTTCTATCCAACTCGAAATTGTACTGTTTTGTTTGGTTAACTATAGTGTAGCAGGGAAGGCACTATAGGGGTACAATTTAGGTGAAGGTTGGATGTTGTTTGTCTGTATCTGCATGCTACAAGGCCAGGGGAAACCAGCGGAACCAGCATTTGGCTGGTTAGGCAAAGACAAAACAGGTTCTGTTTTTAGAACCTGAACCTGGTTGTTGTTTTCCCAGGTTGGAAAAACAGAACCAGAGGTTGTTTACCAACCTACCACCTGCTATTTTGTCCAGCCAGGTTGGTTCTGTTGCTTGGAATTATTTGGGATCATCCCTGGTTATTCCCAGGTTGATTCCCAAGGTCCTTGCTAGCTAGAACTATTTAATCCTTCTCTGTTTGCACCTGAATATAGTCAAATTGATTCAAGCGAATTCCTTCCTCGCTGGAATTTCGTTTCTGCGCTATTCGACGGCGGAATGCTACCCGAGTCAACGCTAGTATGCTAGCACTCCAACGCTAGGCAAACGCTGTCCGAGCCATAACTTAGTGATGGCAGAACTTTTCGCGAGGCAACTTGGCTCATTTTAAAGCTCTTGGAGCGAGCTTCGATATAGCGAATTCTCAGCTTAATCCGATCGACGGTCTGCACGGCACGCTGCGCGACGTTCAAGGTACTCTTGCTGTTTTGACTAAGTCCTTCTTGATCCCTCTCTCTACAAACTCGGACCCGAGGATAGGGGCTGGTCTTGTACCAGGCACCCAGGGACCCTTGGAGGTGACCCCGAGGAGAGGTTTTAAGTTTGATTAAGTCCTAATAGCTTGAGTTTATTAGGCCCTTACACCAACACTGGCTACTTTCACTCGAGAGCCGGGGTCGGACCTGTACACACTGACCACTGAGTCCCCTCAGGTAGCTGCGTCTGCGTCTGCGTCAGGTCAGCTGTCCGCCCCCTGCTCGTATCGCTCTCTGGCGCATGAGACTGTCCTTTGGCACCACCGCCTTGGTCACCCGTCTGTGCAGCGCCTTCGGGCCATGCACAAACGGGACCTTGTTGCTGGTCTTCCCAGGGTGCTCCCTCCCCTTCCCGACTCGCCTGCTCCTCCCTGTATTCCCTGTGTCGAGGGGCGGCAGCGCGCCGCTCCTCACTCCTCCTCCTTTCCCCCGACGACTGCTCCTTTGCAGACGCTCCACTTGGACGTGTGGGGCCCAGCCCGCGTCCGTGGACAGGGTCAGGAGCGGTACTTCCTGCTCGTTGTTGACGACTTCTCGCGCTACACCACGGTCTTCCCCTTGCGAGCCAAGGGTGACGTACCTGATGTCTTGATCCCTTGGATCCGCAGATCTCGTCTCCAGCTCACCAGGCGTTTCCGCTCCGACTTTCCTGTCCTGCGTCTGCACTCTGACAGAGGTGGGGAGTTTTCCTCTGGCCTCCTGGAGGCCTTCTGTCAGCAGGAGGGCATTGAGCAGTCGTTCATGCTTCCGGCCTCTCCACAGCAGAATGGGGTTGCTGAGCGCCGCATTGGTCTAGTCATGGAGGTCGCTCGTACCTCCTTGAGTCATGCGGCTGCCCCCCATTTTCTGTGGCCGTTTGCGGTCCGATACGCTGCGCATCAGCTCAACCTCTGGCCCCGTGTCTCCTTGCCCGAGACTTCTCCGACACTGCGTTGGACGGGAGAGGCTGGCGATGCGTCGCGTTTTCGGGTCTGGGGATCCCGAGCTTTTGTCCGCGACACGTCCGCGGACAAGCTCTCCCGTCGCGCTGTCCCCTGCGTCTTCCTTGGCTTTGTCCCGGACGCCCCTGGTTGGCAGTTCTACCACCCCACCTCGCGTCGTGTCCTGGCCTCTCAGGACGTCACTTTTGACGAGTCCGTCCCCTACTACCGCCTCTTCCCCTACCGCACTGCCCCGCTCCCCCCCCCGCCTCTCTTCCTCGCTCCAGGTGCTGAGGTACCAGACCCCCTCCCCCCTCAGGGTGCCGCTCCCTCAGGTGTGTCCCAGGTAGACCCGGGTGAGCCTGTCGAGGTAGCTGTTGACTCTCGTCCTGCGTCTGGGGGTGCTGAGCCTGGGGGTGTTGAGCCTGGGGGTGCGGAGCCTGGGGGTGTTGAGCCTGGAGGTGCGGAGCCTGGCGGTGCGGAGCCTGGAGGTGCTGAGCCTGGGGGTGCGGAGTCTGGGGGTGCTGAGTCTGGGGGTGCTGAGACTGAGCGTGCTACACCTGGAGGAGCCCTCTCCTCCCAGCAGCTGCAGGAGAGGTACCTCGAGTACTGCCGCCTCCGGAGAGGTGCTGCTGGAGCTCGTCCCGGTACTTCCCCTCCTACCCAGGAGCTCCCCCCCATTCAGCAGATCCGAGAGTGGTACACACGCCGCTGCAGTCTTCGGAGTGGTCCTCCGGGTGCTGAGGACCCGAGCGGTGGCGCTGCTGCTTGTGCTGAGGACCCGGGCGGTGGAGCTGCTGCTGGTGCTGAGGACTCGGACGTTGGAGCTACTGCTGGAGCTGGGGACCCGAGCGGTGGAGCTGCTGCTGGAGCTGAGGACCCGGCTGGTGGAGTTCCTGCTGGTGCTGCGGACCCGAGCGGTGGCGCTGCTGCTGGTGCTGCGGACCCGGGCGTTGGAGCTGCTGCTGGTGTTGAGGACCCGGACGTTGGAGCTGCTGCTGGTGCTGAGGACCCTGCCGCTGGTGTCTTTGCTGGTTCTGGAGACGCTACGCGGCCGCGACCGTACTTCGTACCACTTCTTCAGCAGGTTCTTGGTCAGGCTCCTCCTCCCTGTCCTCCTCCCTCAGTAGAGTGTCCTCCGCCTGTCCAGTCGCCGTCACAGTTACCGCCTGCCTCGCCTCTCCCTGCTCCCTCTCCTTACACTGGTCCCACGGGAGGTCTTACAGAGCGTCGTGAGCCTGAGTCTCGTCCTGCGTCGCCTGTTCGTACTGCTCGCACTGGTCGTCGTGTCCCACGTGAGCGTCCTCCTCCTGTCCCTGGCACGCACTACATGACTCTGCGTCCCTCCACTGCTCCTCAGCGTGTCCCGCTACCGTCTCCTCCTGCTTCCTCTCTGCCTACTCTTCCTGACCCGGAGTCTGACTCCCGTCGTGCTGCCAGTCCCACTGTCACCCGTCTCCTCGCTACTGTTGTCACTGACCCTACCTTTGAGTCCACCGCTGCGTCTTCTCTGGTCGCTGAGTTAGTTGACTTTGCTGCTGCCTGTCGTCTAGACTACGCCACTGGCCTTGTTGCTGAGTCTGAGTCTGAGTCTGTCTGTCCTCCGTCCGTCGGGGGTGAGTGTGCTCTTGGCACGGACGTCCTTGAGGACAGACAGGAGGAGTTCCAGTGCTTTGCTGCTGCTTTGCCCCACCTCGTGTCCATGCTAGTTGCCCCTGAGGGAGACCCGGATGCACCAGACATCCCGACCCCGCGCACTTACGCTGAGGCGATGGCGGGTCCCTACTCCTCTCAGTGGCAGACAGCCATGGACGCAGAGATGGCTTCCTGGAAGTCCACACGCACCTACGTCGACGAGGTTCCCCCACCTGGGGCGAACATCGTCAGTGGCATGTGGATTTTCAGGGTGAAGCGGCCACCGGGTTCTCCTCCTGTCTTCAAGGCGCGCTACGTGGCTCGAGGCTTCAGTCAGCGAGAGGGAGTTGACTTCTTTCAGACCTTCTCCCCCACCCCGAAGATGACCACTCTTCGGGTGCTGCTGCACATAGCCGCTCAGCGCGACTACGAGCTTCACTCACTTGACTTCAGCACTGCTTTCTTGCAGGGCAGCCTGCACGAGGAGATCTGGCTGCGCCGCCCTCCTGGCTTCACTGGGTCGGTTCCTCCTGGTACCCAGTGGAGGCTTCAGCGGCCGGTCTACGGTCTCCGCCAGGCACCGCGTGAGTGGCACGACACACTGAGGACGACACTTGCGGCTCTTGGGTTCGCTCCCTCTACTGCTGACCCGTCACTGTTTCTACGCACAGACACCTCACTGCCGCCGTTCTACATCCTTGTGTACGTCGACGACTTGGTCTTTGCCACTGCTGACACCGCGGCACTTGCCCACGTGAAGTCGGAGCTGCAGAGGAGACACACGTGCACAGACCTGGGTGAACTGACAAGCTATCTTGGCTTGCGGATCACCCGGGACAGAGCACGGCGCACCATCACCTTGACTCAGTCACACATGGTGCAGCAGATCCTTCAGCGCTTCCGCTTCACGTACTCCTCGCCTCAGTCCACTCCTCTGCCTACCGGTCACTCGCTCTCAGCTCTGCCTTCGGATGAGTCCGTAGAGCCGAGTGGCCCGTATCCAGAGCTTGTGGGCTGCCTCATGTACCTGATGACCTGCACTCGACCTGACCTTGCATACCCTCTTAGCATCCTTGCACGCTATGTCGCTCCTGGCCGTCACAGGAAGGAGCACATGGATGCCGCTAAGAGGGTGTTGCGCTACTTGTGCAGTACGTCGGGCATGGGGCTAGTGCTTGGAGGGCGAGACCGAGTTGTACTTACTGGACACTCAGACGCTTCTTGGGCGGACGACCAGGCTACTCAGCGGTCGTCTCAGGGTTACACCTTCAGCCTTGGCTCCGGCTCAGTTTCTTGGCGTTCTACACGCTCTTCTTCTGTTCTCAGCTCCAGTTGTGAGGCTGAGATCTATGCCACAGCCATGGCTGCCCAGGAGCTACGCTGGCTGACCTACCTGCTGACCGACTTGGGTGAGCGGCCTCGTTCTCCTCCAGTGCTGTACGTCGACAACCAGGCTGCCATTGCTTTGTGTGAGGAGCACAGACTGGAGCACAGAACGAAGCACATCGCCCTGCGGTACTTCCTTGCTCGAGAGCTGCAGCAGCGCGGTCAGCTTTGTCTGCGTTACGTGGCCACTGAGGCCAACCTTGCTGATGTGTTCACCAAGGCGCTTCCGCCTTGTGACCATCAGCGCTTCTGCACTCTGCTAGGCCTTGTGCCTACTGGACCTCACTTACTTACCTCTTGACCTTGCTTGTACTGTGATCACTATATATATATCTACCTGCATGTTTACTCTTGCTAGGTTGTGATCACTGTATCTCATGCTCTGTTATAAACCT